CCTTTACTTTTTGGATGACTTTACAATGGATGAACATGAATTATTTTGAAAAGTTGCATTATATAAAACTATAAATCATCCAGTAACTGATATATAAATCTAACAAAACTGCTGAAGATCATCCATACAATCTGGAATGAAAATAACAAAATATTACCTCCAAGGTCTCCCAATTTGTAACACAAAGAGAAGGCATACTACTTCTTCAAGTCTTAATCATATAATCTTCCTAACTAGACAATGTTGTTCCTACTTAACTACATTTAATGAATAAATGGCATGCAAACAAATAACACTTTATATTGTATGAATCAATGTTGTAATTACTGTACAAAAGATCGTATTTTCACATTATGTCCAATACTACTAAAATAGTTTGAAATTCAACATTAGTACTAACCATTTTCCAAATTCCTCTGAAATGTTACCAAAATAAACACTTTATTGATAACAACTTCATGCTTTTTATTTTTCTAACTTCTGATTCCCAAAAGGAACTAATGCCTATAACACAAATGACTATCCCAAAACTTACTAAACAGAAAGAGAATCAGTCTAAGTGTAAGCAACACTTTCACAAATTACACCTTACTCCATACTTTCTGTAAGAAAAATACAAAGAATGAAAAACAAATTTTTGGCTAAATTCCAACTCTATGTGATTTGCAAAGCTATTACTCAATTGCCACATATACATTTCAAGTACTTCTATGCAATAATTATCTTCCTTAAGAAAGCGAAAACTATTATGAAGATCAAAGTTGTTTCCCCAATCTGGGAGGGGAAAGGAAAGGGAAAAATCATCAACTCCCTATTTGTCCTTATCTCTGTGCTCTTAAGTACATCAAAAACCATCTTAAAACTCATCTCATTCTCTAGTGTCAGTAACTATGTGGGTTTCACCTCTGTACATCACTTGTGATCCATGCTACACAGGCAGAATTCATCTAGAATTATGGAGTGAACACTACATCCAGAAAATCTATCTTCCCTTGATGTAGTATGCTTCATAAACTAATAACTAAAGTTATTTCAGGTAGAGATCAGATCATATATTAGAGAAGGTCACTTTTACAATAGGTCTCCTAAACTCTGAAGGCTAAAAGCCAGGAAAGGCAAAGAAGAGGACAGCATTTACAAATTATTTCCCCTCCAATTTCAATCATGCTTAACAAGCTTACACAGACAAAACCCTGGACATTAGAAATGATGAGGAATGGCTTTTCAAAGATAAGGACAAAAGTTTACCTGACAGCAATTAATCCCACATAGTGCAACAAAAACAGACACAAGAGACATGGTAAACGCAAGGAAGAGAGAAATTATTTGATCCAAACCCATGTGTCCAAGAGTTTCATTAAGGATAGCCTCCTTTCTTTAAAAATTAAAAAAAAAAAAAAAGACCCTGCTACTTTGTGAACCAAAAAAAAAAAAAAAAATACAAGTAAAACATTATTGACAAAAAGATGTGACATGAGATGGTATTTTGCGCAATGCAGGAAAGCCTAAAAATTGGAATAAACTTTCCTCTGTCAACAATTTATAAGTACATAAAGTTCCTTATTGTTTTCCATCTTAAAAAGAATCTTTTTGAAAAGTTCTACTTAAAAAACGTAAATTGTGCATTAAACTATGGTGTGGTATAACTCTTGCTTAACAATGATTAAAGGTATACTTAAAATATGCACTCAAAACACTAAAAAAGAATCTGATTTTACTAGATGGGACTATATCTGAAGTAGTCTTACATAATATTCTTTAAGTTCACTTACCACTATTTTTCAATAAAAACAACAATCACAAAACACATTTTCATGCTTTTTTACATACCAATTTTTGTAAAAGGCAATCTGAAATAAACACTTGAAATTTTTGGTTAAACTACAGTTTCCCACAAATTATGACTATATATCCAAATGATATACATAAAATACAACAGTTCTAAATATGCATATATGTACAATCAGAAATAATATCTATTTCTTTATGGAATACTACACATTTATGACTTTTGACTAGCAAGACACACAGACTATGGTAATGTACAAGGCTGATAACTTGAAGGAAAGGATTCTGAAGGTCTGTAAATACTCATACATTTACCAAAGGCTAAGTCAGTGAAATGTTGTTATCACTAAGGCATACACCTATCCTTAATGAAGACTGAAGCAACTTGACTACTTGTCAAAGATGTTATGAAATAGTAATGAAAAATTATTGGGTATTTAAAAGCAAGCAGGTATTAAACACTGAATATGAAAACATCAGGTTACTTACAGACTTTACTAAGAATTCTGGAAAAGCTTTGAGCAACAAGTTATAGTCAGAAAGGATCTAAACTAGCTCACAGCCATAATGCTACTTGGAAAAAAAAAATTAGTTCCAGTATGGTGTATTTACCTATCATAAAATATTTTACTCTTAAGCTAAAAGAATAATGAAATTCTCTCCTGCTGCTTCTCTAGTTCCAGAAAGCAGTAATCTTGGTCTTTTAAGGTATACTGACAAATCCCAAACTCCTAGATCAGTGCCTGGTACTAGTCCTCAGTATTTCTTGAACAAATGACTGGGAGTAGAGAACAGGTTAAGAGCAGGCAAACCTAAAACTACCAAAGAATTGATCACAAACAATGACAGAATTGATTAATGGGAATAATAACAACCTAAGTGTGTTGAGGTCAAATATGAATTGTTCCATATTTTAGCAAAAAAACCTGAATGAACTGTGTAAGACACTGAACGTAACCTGTTATATAAAACTAGTGACTTGACAAAATTGTGAATAATCTCAATTCTGCTAAAAAAAAAATGGATTTGATAGTCAACTGGACGATTTAGGCCGCAAATTCATAAACCCAGTTCTTTGCCCAATTACAAAGAAAAATGTGCTAATGAACTTATTAATGCTCTTTTGTCAATACTTCTCAGTTTCTGATGTAGTTTCTCACAAATATTTAGAAAATATTTCAAGCATCCAACCCTCCTTAATATAACGTAAAAATACATATCCTACTTATCTACATAAAGCCGGAAGTTTCCACACATTGACACTAATTAGTACTTATGTGCAGGCAATTTCAAAATTCTTCACCAAGTATATTCTTTTGTTTTAAATTTTATGAATTTAAAGTGATCCTCAGTTCTCTAGGACCAAGCTACTCACTCAATTAGGACAATTCCATTAAAAGGTGGGTCACTCTCCTCATCACAACTAAACTTCAGAAAAAGTATGCTTTAAAAAGTGAATACAAACCCGCCATTTCACACCTGATATAATGTATTTATGAATCTAAGGCAAAATTCAAATATTTCTCTAGTTCTACTTTCAAAAACTTGTTTGATTGCTAGTTTGTCTATCTTGACTTATACCTGTTACTGTAGCAACGTGAGCAAGTATGTCCAGTTTCTGTTACAACAATATACTTTAATTGCTTGCCATTGGCTGTTTGAATCAAGTGTGACATCCAGAGTTATACCCTATACACTAAGGAGTGTATGACTCCATGTAATGACAAAAGAGAAAGTTTTTAAACTGAATACGTTTGTTGTCGCTAAAAGTGACAGTAGAAAAGTAAAGCAGCCCTGCGTGGTGACCAGACCCGTTCTTTGAGGCTTCCAAGGCTAAGAAACGGAAAACTAATTGTCCAATTTGTTGGGTCTCGCTTCCTTCCCGCCGGCCCTCCTACGAGTGGCGAGACAGTTCCTGAACCAGAGTTTGTGAAGTGCTTAGGAGGCTTGTGGGATGAAAGATGCTATAAATACGCTTCATGTTATGAGTATATTGCCACTGAGCATTTCGTGGAACCACTGTCACTGCGTCGGGGACAGGTTGGTGGCACAACCCTTGCCCAGGAGGGGGGAGAAGGCGGGCACAGCCCCCTTGGTGGCCGTAAAGCGAGGCTGGGTCATGTTTTAAGCCGCAGCTAGACTACACGTGAAAAGTTACACACACGCCCCACACCGAGGACTCCGGTCGGTCTCCATCCCCGAGGGCTGGAGTGCTTGAGCCGGGCGGCAGGAGAAGCGCGGGGGCCCGGGCCTACACCCCACAGACGCAGG